CGATGTTCCTCCCATTTTACAAACATCTTCTGTGACTGCTCACACCAGACACTTTAAAGCTGTAGAGGCCTGGTAGGTCTCTCAATTTCCTTTTAAAGCTTTTTTTTAAACCCTTCTCTTTTCGACATTCATTTAATTGTATGTGTCATTTTGGTTGGTTGAGCATAATAATCCAATTAAACCCTTGAACAAGGGGGTGAGACATACTGTATGTAAACCCCAAAACAAATAGACCAAGATAAAGAATAACTATGCCAAACTTATTTCAAAAATGTCCTTCAAGTGACTTGATGGAAATTAATAATTAAAAAAAAGAGAATAGAAAGTGACTAAGATTGCTACGGCATACATTGGGTGAAGCTATTGCCATTAGAGTGTTAAAGGTCTTTCAAAAGATACTTGTCTTCTTATCATAAAAAGTGTCAAACTTTAGGCTTGAGCATTAAACCAAAAAAATCTAATAAAAATCACACTCGATCCAAAAAACACAACACAGACGAACACAGGAAGAAACAGAAACAACTCCTTTAAAACTTTGTGTGAGACACAAATCCTTTTATGAAGGCCAGTAGGTATCTGGCTGCCTCGAGGCACCTCGGACAGCTCTTCCTCTATTATTTCAAATTCTCTTTCCTCACCATCTCTGTGGCCTTCTCCCTCATTCCCTCATTCTCTCTGTCTCTTTGTCTCTCTCCTTATAGCCAGACATTCAGAGTTAAGCCGGATCTGAAGATTTTTAACGGCACATTCCTCTACTTTAATTTGAATGTATTCTTCCTTCCCAACCTCCATAGCTTTGACTGTCCTCAGGCTCAAGGACAACTATTTCATTCACAAAAATAACAGAACTGACACATAGACGCATTTAAACAAAATTAAAAAGGGAAAAATAAAGAAGTAAGGAAAAACAACTTAAGATAAAACAATACTTGAAACAAGGTGGGAGAGAGCAAAGTGAATAATGAATAATTGGTTTTTAGCAAAGTCTGTTGCCGCGGTTTTAGCTTTTCTTTTACTGGAGATCTCATGCTTACCACAGGTGCTGCACACCGCAATAACAAATATTAGTTAGATTTTCCTTTTCATAACTTCAGAATAATAGGCAGAAGGTACAGGAACATGAAGGAAAAAAATGCACAAATCTGAGACAGTACCAGTACACAAGCCACAAGACACAATACACATGTTTAGCCTTTTTCCACTTTTTATCATAAATGCTCTAAAAATATTCTCAAGTCCTATGCTCTTTTGGGGCCCCGTTTTTTCAATGTGTGTGTGATTACAATGTATCGTTATTTTTCCTGTTTTTATCTGAGCAGAACTGAGACACATATAAACTTTGTTGACATAACCTCAAAGACTTAAATTAAACATCTTGTGAACGTGTGTGAGTGTGAATGTCGTCTGGCAGGTGCTGGTTGGGTCCTCGGCTCCGCCTGAAAATATAGGGGAGTTAGCGAGAGCGCCGAAAGTATTTATGCTGGTTTAAGAATGACAGCGGTTGAGAATAATCAGGGTGCAAATAATATGTTGAGGGTGTATAAATGATGACGTTAAGTTGCATTAATTGTACAAGTTACCACTGTGTAAAGTTGACATATCACTCCCCCATGTCTGTTGCTGCTGATTGTGTGCACCTGGTGCCCTGTGTTGTCTCCTCCCCCCTCACCTGTGTCTTGTTGGTTTGATTGGTCTGGGTCTATTTAGGCTCTGTTTTCCTGTCAGTGTGGGTGAGATCCTTGTGGTTGGTGATGGTGTTCACATGGACAGTCAGATTGAGGCTGTGTCATGTGTCTATGATTAAATAAATGCCCACACGGGATATATGTGAACGCTCTGCCTCTGCCTCCTTGCTTGGTCGGGCCGCTCAACGGTCAGTCTCACAGTGAGCATGCATATGTTTATAATTTATTGTGTGTAAAAGTAAAGTAGGTTTTGTGCATCAGTTGATCTTCTTTGGGAAAACAGCCAATTAAGAGCTCAATAGTGCCTATTACAGATCTCATATTTTCCTCTTTCTGTATCCAGCATTAGACACCACACACACAGATGTACACGCGGTGCAGGCCAGAGAAGCATCCGTGTGTGGTGCTCTGAGTCATGCGTCAGGTTATGTTTTTCCACAGCAGCATAGCCAGGATGGTAATGCCTTTGGTCTGGACCAGAACTGTTATTAGGATTGGTCCGGATCAGGACTGACTTACTGCACAGCTGATTTGTCATCAGCTCCAGGTCTGGATCAGCCCGGGATAAGCTCCAGAGACTGAAAACCAAGCTCTCCAACCGTTTCCATCTCGATCACAAGAAAACGAGCAATCATCCGACTAGCCTTTTTCCCAATTCTATATATGGGAGTTTTCTTTGGATGATAAACAGGTTACAACTTCCTTCATCCCACTTTGGCCAGAAAGTGACATTCTGTGCTATTCATGTTGTCCTAAGAGTAATAAATAATTTGCATAGTGTAATTGAAACATTAATTATCAACTGAGTTTATCTAAAAACCTCAAATGTCCTAATAAAATAAATACTAGTGTTCGTTGCGTTTGTTCAGTTGTATTTTGTTGCCATATTCAGCTTTTAAAAAACAAAACTAAGACAGGACATTGAAATAACAGCATGCTGTGGCTGTGATCAGGCCTCCACTCTAATCATGAAAGACACGCTGAGTTGTGGAGGAGCTGCTGCCCCACTGCGTGACAACCCATCTCTTGGCTCTGTGATAATAACAGAGTAGCTGTACAGTAAAAACACGTGGTTTACACTACATTTCTCTTAGCTTCCACATGTGTGCCAGTGCAAGCATAGGCCCATATACACACACACACACACACACACACACACACACACACACACACACACACACACACACACACACACACACACACACACACACACACACACACACACACACACACACACACACACACACACACACACACACACACACACTCATGCATCTCTTTCTCATGCCGACACCAATGCACATTATGCCTACAAGCACACACACTCATGCACTCCTACAAGCACAAACTCACTCACACACATGACATCACGTATGTTTAAACAACCGTTTCCTGATGCACCGGGCTGGGCTGCTCAGGGCCGGGCTGGAGCCTCTGGGTGATTTGTCAGTTCGAGCCATGCAGGCCAGGAACCCCTCAAAGTTTGCTTTGGGTTCCAGAGGGACACACTCAGGATCCCTAAATTCCTGCCTATGGTATGCATTCTGCTTCACCCTATGGACCCTCAACCACCAAATGAATGACACAATTCCCCCCCCCCCCCGTTTTCTTCCCTCTTTTTAAGATAAGTCTTTAAACTGTTTCTAAAACGTTCCCAAAAACGTTATTTCCCTGTCTTGTGGCCTAACTTTTCGTGTCTTTTGGTTATGTGTGTTTCTCCTTTATTTTTATAATTGTTCACTTCAAACCTTTATTTACCCAGGTGTATCCCATTGAGATCATTGATCTCTTTTTCAAGGGAGACCTGCTCAAGTAGGTTCCACATGAAACATAACAACTAGGGCTGTCAAACGATTACAATTTTTAATCAGATTAATCACAGCTTAAAAATTAATTAATCATGATTAATCACCATTCGAACTATGTCCAAAATATGCCATTTATTTATGTATATTGTTGTGGGAATGGAAAGATAAATGAAAGAAGGCGGATATATCCATTTAACATACAGTAGCCTATCTATGTTTATTATAAAAAAATTCTACATGTCAAAATGAAAGACAACCCACACACCTATCAATCATCAAACCGTGGGGTCTTAATTCATTACGTGTTGATTTCTATCAACGGGGGAGTACTTCAGGAAAGTCGACAGAGGAGGGGGGGGCGGCGGCGGCTAGTGGAGTACTTCGTGACCACAGAGTGTGAACGTTGTGATCAGCTGTTTTAGCGCAGTTCTCCAGTGAAGGGGGGGAGTCTCCCTCCGCAGCCGGTTGGCGTAGTTTTGGCACAATTCCGTTGTACAGACCGACTTTAACAGCAGCCCTGTCTGTGCACACGGAGACCAACTCTGTCGTCCGGTGATCTAACCGCCTTCTGGAAAAGCTTCACAAGTACGTCGGTACGCAAATGCGCTTTGTGACACAAGTGACGGTACGCATTTCAGATTACGCACATAACCTGCGTACCAGTTATGTGCACCCCTGTACTACAGCAAAAGTATTCTCCGTCGGGACTTCCTGCAACAACACCACGCCGTTATCAAAGATGTTCTATTGAGAAGACGATCACTACGTGACAAAAGTTTTCAAAACCGTGGCTACTGAAATCAATCTTACTAACTGCTGTCAGTGCAATTTACTCCGCGCGAGTTGGCAGACTTTATTTTGCTTACTTTAACATCATTTTTCATAAGCCATTTCTTGGTATGGGTGTAGCCTACCCCAGCCATACCCTGGCGCTGCCACTGGTGGCATGTATGGGGCGGGCCATTCTGCACATGCGTTAAATGCGTTAAATATTTTAACGCAATTAATTCAAAAAATTAATTACCGCCGTTAACGCGATAATTTTGACAGCACTAATACAAACATAAACAGAACAACAAAAAGGACAAATTGTATTTGTATGTTATTTTTCTGTATTGGTATCCTGTGAAACAGATTTGTTTTAATATGAGCTATCTTACTTAAACAGCTAAGTACATAAGCACCTATACTGTATAAGCAAAAAGGTTTACATTTTGTAAGAAAAATAAAAGATTACATGTATACTTACATAACCCTAACTCTAACCATTATCATAACCCTAACCCTGTTTTAAAAGGTGCTTTCTTACTAACCCATCTAAGAACACAATCACCTCTATCTATATTGTCTATGCCTATATTGTCTTGTATAATAATGATACAATGTTAATTTCCCCTTTATAGGACGAATAAAGGTATTCTGTATTCTGATAACGTTCTTGCTGTTCAGCCATGTGACTCAATTTCCCAGCATGCACTGCCAGAAGGACTAGTGCGAGGAAGTGAATCACAGCCAATAGTCTTCCTCCTTACACGGAACTCCGAGAGAAGAGGGAAGTTCAGTTTGTTTACATCGCAAGAAGAAACCTGTCTGAAGACTAGACACAAATGGATTAACTAAACGTCTGCTCTGTGGAGATTTCAGTTTGATGAGTGTAAGTCTTGTTTACATGTAAGTCTATTTCAAGCTAAAGTAGCTAACGAATACGACTAGAGTAATGCAATTGCTAACAAGCTAACAGCTGAAATACAGGTTGCTAATAAGGAGGATGCAAATACATTTCCTTGTGATCTAATCATTCAATCCTAACTTGAGTTTGCAAGACGTCGTCTAGCAGTTGTATATTGAATTTATTTCGAATGAACTATGTGTAGAGTGGGGCGAACACTGGCATCCTGTGGTGTTGTGTAGTTGTTGCACTCCAACATTTAACGTAGGTGAGTTTGTGTCGGAGGAAACTCCCGGGTAAATGGAGCAATTTGTGTTTTTTTTCAAGCTCTTAAAGCCAATGCAAATTATTTTGCATTAGGTTGGACTTACTGAGTCGGATGACACGAAAGGTATACACATTGAGACATTTTAATAACTCCATATTATAAAATACAAGGTGGACTAACATCCTTTTTTGTCCATTGTAGTTAGAATGATATCTGATTATGATGGCTTCAAATTCATTTGTTCACATTTCATGTAAGCTATAGAAAATAAATCAGACTTTTCAACAAACAATATACCACATTTCATTTTAAATATTCATATAAAATCAAAGGTGGACAAACACTATTTAAAAAAATAATACAAATTAAATGTGTCCAGTGTTGTGATACATGGCTGCATTGATTGAGTCATTAGGTCACATTATATGAACAAAGACAACAAGACTTTTCAGTATAGAAAAGCAATAGAAAGTTTATTAAAAATCAATAAAAATAGATGTTTAAAATGTTTCAAGTGTATTGTATTGGTTTGAATTGATCGAATTTTGAACACAAGTCGTAGTGAGTAGTTTCTCGACTAAATCAGGTGTGTTTTGATGAGTGGTTGCAAGTGGTCATTTGACATATTTTGTGGGAAACATTTTGAAGACATATATAATTATATTAGCCTAAATTAGTTAAAGGTGGGGTAGGTAATTTTGGAGAAACCGGCTCGAGTGCGCTAGAATTTGAAAATACACAACCGGAAAAAATCTGCCACTTCCTTACAGAGCCCCTCCTCCAACACAGAACACACAGGAACGCGCACATGCCCAATGAGGGCACGAGATAAGTTTGTGCACAGATGGAAGGCTGACAGGCAGGTAGGCCATCCAGTTATTTTAGCCGGGCCGGCTCAAATGATTGGTCGTGCTTTTTACAGTACTACGGCTTCCACAGAGGACATTTTTTTAATGGATTTATTGTCAAAGCATTTAAGATATTCATTGCTATCGGGATGTTAAGAGCGTTCCATGGAATATATCAAAAAGTGTTTCTGAAATAAATTACATACGGCCACCTTTAAGCAAAACTGTTCCTTTTATGACTCTTAGTAAGACAAACTTTAAACAACTTTCATGTAATCCAGGTGTTCTTAAATATATCATACTGAAGCACACAGAAGTACATTTGTTTAAAGTGATTAACTTAATCTCCTAATTGAAACCGCAAACGTACTCTTACCCAAAGTCTACAAGCTTAGTTTAACAGATCTTCAAAGAATATTTGACCCGTCACATCTCGTTTCTGCTCAAAAGTGTTTAACAAGTCCAAGAGCTGGTGTCGAGAGTGTACAGTATATGTGCATGTGTGTATTTTATTGACTAAATGACATCCATTTGAGACAAACAAGTTTTGTAATCACAATATATGCCTATGTTTTCATGTAGCTGTCTCTGTGTGATAGAGTTTGTGGGTGACTGTTGGCATAAGGTTAATTTCCTCCTCTGCTTCACTAAAACCTGGGCCCCCGACACAAGTCAACAAGAGGCGTTTGTTCCTAATTCAGTTTAGCTTTTTTCTTTTTTTTTAATGTGTATTTATATATTCACATCAGCGAGCCATAGTGGCTTCCCAGCAGAGATGATGGCAAGACATTAAACAAATTGTGTGTAACGAGGTGATCATAAAACACAACCCTGTGGTGTCTCACACAGACCTGTCATTATGGCAAAAACAACAAACACACACACTCACGCACCCTATTCCCAGGCTACATACACACACTAAACACATCCTAATACACACACTTGTGTTCTGCCCCCCATGTTTTTCCCTCCATCATCATAAAAGGTGAAGAATGTGCCGTTTATTTCTCAGTAGGCTTCCATGAGTGTGTGTGTGTGTGAATGTGTGTGTGTTTGAAATGTGATCGTTAGACTGTGGTTATGAGAGTTTAACACTAGATTAACATAATGCTTGAATATATTTTACCACACATTACTGCCAATTATTATTGTATTATCCATGCTCTAATAGAAAACCGGGGAATGATGTGGGCCACACATGCACATTATACATTAGTGCACAACTAAATACATGGGCAGGCAGGTGTATCAGACTGATGTTATTTTCTAAATATGTTTTTGAAGTGGAACAAAGAGATTGTCAATAAAACATTATTTATTTTGGAGTGTAATTGCATTCACTGCACCTTTTATAAACATTCCAAGTGTTACATTTAATTACAAGTCACACATAACGTACAAGCAATTGTTTGATACACATCTTTTTCTTTATTTATGGTAACAAGTTACGACACATTTAATGCATATTCAATAGACTTTATTTTATTTCATATAAAAGTTTTAAATCAAATCAAATCAAGTTTTATTTATATAGCACATTTTTAAACGATTTTTGGTCGAGCCAAAGTGCTGTACATATAATAAAAATAGCCTACAGTAGAGACACTCTACAGCAAATACAACAGCACAGATTGTTCAGAATATCAGTATGAGAAAAACGACACCCTCTGTCCTTAGACCCTCACATCGTACAAGGAAAAACTTCCAGAGAAAACCCACAGTTTAAGGGGAAAACATGGGAGAAACCTCAGGGAGAGCAACAGAGGAGGGATCCCTCTCCCAGGACGGACAGACGTGCAATAGATGCCGTGTGTAAATCGAAGAGATAATACATTTTACAGCATGTAGACCGAATGTTAGGAAATGCATGTGTCTGTAATAAGAAGATGAATCCACGAGGATGTCAGCTACAATCCTGTGGAAGCCATCAGGGAAGCAGCATGACGAGACCCAAGGCAGGACCGCAGAGACAGGTTCAGTCACGACCCGAAGTCCACGACTTAATCCAGAACTCAGGATAGGGGATTTTTTAACTGCTGATTGATGACTGTGTACTTTTTATGTCACCAGTATACCTACAATTATTGTATAATATATTAATGGGGTGTAAACTTTAGTAGTGTCTCTACTGTAGGCTATTTTTATTATATGTACAGCACTTTGGCTCGACCAAAAATTGTTTATAAATGTGCTATATAAATAAAACTTGATTTGATTAAACTGTTTATAAAGACTTATCGGCTACTATCTATCACACAACCATCACTTTAACAGCACTGTGTTAATTTCGTCTCCAAATGCTAAGATCACCATGTAAACATTTTTGACATTGCAGAACCCCTCATACCCACAAACTAAAAATGATTAAGGAGAGATATTAAAATAATAGTTTTTTTCCCCTATTCTTACGTAGGATTCTTACATATGACCTGAGTCCATTGGAAAGCAGCACAATGTCTCAGCTGCAGCAGCGGACCCAGCCCCTGTTGGACGTCCCGGCGCTGCAGTTCTGGCTTGACAAAGCAGTGGCTTGGGGCCAGGCTGACAGGCCCGACACTCTGAAAGACACCTGCCTGCACATGAGTAGACTGAAGGATTACCTCCAGCAACTTCTCACACATATCAACAACATGGTGAGCAGATGTAGGAAAAAAGTGAAGCTGGTGTATCACATTTGTCATAATGCAAGGGAAACACTGAGATTTATATCATTGACACATTTGCATAACACTTTTCTTCCCCAGGTAAGCTTGTATCAGTAAGGAGGCACAACTTGCCTAACAAAAACAAATTGAGATCAGTTAATCAGTCTGGCCAAACAGCCGTCAAAAGTTAATTCAAAACCCAGCACGTCTAGTGTACACACACACACACACACACACACACACACACACACACACACACACACACACACACACACACACACACACACACACACACACACACACACACACACACACTCATGCACACTCACGCACACTCTGTCCGGGCCAGGACATGAACAGTAAGTCCAGCGTTGGCCGGGTCCTCCGAACAGAGGTGGCTCTGTGCGGTGCAGAGGCTGTGTATGTCTGGCTGGCAGTGCTACAGTGTTGAGTTAGTCAGGTAATAGCCGCAGTGGGACCTCCAGCGCTAACCTAATGTATCCCCATATCAGGTCCAGCAAATTTGGGAAGGGGGCAGAGTACAGGAGGGGTGCAGGACTGTGAGATTTCAGTGTTACTACAAACTTGCCCCCTTTTTCCCTTAGCACTTTCTGTCTTTCTGCTTTCTATAACCATATTTCTCTCCACATGATCAAATGTTTTTCTCACAAATATTTTTCTTGTTAGTCTTACAGTCATGGTTCTCTTGCAGGTTTTCATTTATGATTTTGTACATCCATATATTATGCACCTTCTAGAGATGGTTAGAATCATTCTAAGTATCTTTGTCTGTTTACCTTTCTACTTCCTGTCTACTTTAGCAACTATATTGTTATAGTTTAAACATTGATTGGCTATTATTTTTGATCTATCTGGCTGCTTCCCTGTTAGCACTTTTCCTCGTATACATCATGAAGAGTTTTCAGCATGTGTAGGACGATGGTGCGGAAACAAAGAAGGAAAAAATGGTATAGCTTAATTGGGTTTAACTTTTTACTGGCAGTGGGCTCATAAAAGACCAGCTGAAGATATCTTGCTTCTTGGCAGCCTATAACATCCTTTGATGACTTAACAACTGTGGTTTATGCCCTAAGATAACAAATATTCTTGGTTCTTATTCATTCCCAGGTTTAAACCTTACAGTCTAGGAAACATACTCCATTCTTCTAAATATTGAACTTATTCATGCCTATCTCTGTTGTTCAATATGAGGTTGGAGCCAGCATCTGCTTAGCTTGGTTTAGCATGATGGGTTGAAACAGAAGGAAAACAACTTGCCTGAACAGATTTCATCTGTTGCGGGCAGACAAGATGAAAGAGATTGGTAAGGGGAAAGTAAGAGTGCAGGATGTGGACGATAGAGGGTGTAACCCTGGGCACATGTTAAAGCGGTATAGATCTATTTAAAAAAAAAAAAAAAGCACATTTCCCAATATTATGTACTACTCATTTTAAAGAGTGCTTGCCTATATGTGATTGTTCATTTGCCAAACCATACTAAACCCACCTAGAATTTCCCTACATTTTAACCATGGTTTCTACATCACTACCGCAGTATTGCACCACTCTTCAAAGGAATCCTGCTGCCCAAAATAAGAGGTGTGGGGAATTTAAGTTTGAATCGTCAGCTATTATGCAAAATCCACTTTTTCATGTCCTTTATACATAAACACGTGTCTCCTCTGTGTAAAGAGATTCTGAAAGTTTCAGGAAAAAAGATTCACTCTCTTTTTGTCCTGATCCATTTATATAAAAACCTGTCTGAAAATGAGCTGATCAGATTTTGGCCACTTTATGATGTCATAACGATTTTTTGGCTTGTATAACTGTGGGGGAAACTTCTGTAGCAATTGGAAACAGGACTCAGAGAGACACGAGGAGAGCTGGAGCTTTGCTGATGGTTTATTTGGAGTTACGGCCGGAGAATTGACAAGACAGGTGGTGTGTCACGAGTTGACACAGCGGTTGAGATGCCACAATCAATTCTGAAGAACCCTCCTGTAGCTCCAGGTTTGAACTAGTTCAGAGTGTAATAATCAACCTTCTTCAATAGATAGACTAAACAGCTGAGGACACTGAATCACAGTTGTTGTCACTTATGGCTCGGGGTCATCTACACCCCGAGAAGGATGTGTTCCAGGTGTCGCGCAACAATAACTATGTCTGACAGAGAGTTGCCCGGTCATAAACTGGCAACATCAACAATATGCTAGGGCAGCCCCTCCTTATGGGAGATAATGGCTGCTCAAGGTTGGTCAGCTGCGTCAGAGGGCGAAGGAGGACATGCAGGGCAAATTATTCCCCAACAGTAACCATTAGCCAATAACTAACCAAGGTAACCCCACAGCACACTGCTTTGATTTCAACTGGCTCATGATAAATGTCTTAGTGTGGCCTTCTTCTGCATCAAAGCTTTTCTCTATAGTTTAATTGGCTCAAAGGTGGAATGTATGATATACTACTTAAATATGGGATTGAATACCAACTCATTTGGTAATGTCACATAAGCATGATTCTTGCACACGTGCAGAAATTCTTGTAAATGTAAGTAATACATCGTCACCCCTTTCATCTACTCTATATACAGATATTCCACTGTAGTCATCATATTGCAAGGAAGATGATTCCAACCCCTTGTTACGAACCAAGAAAAGTAAAGGAAACATTTTTAAAAGTCCACTTTCAGACTGAAGGCACTTGTTTCAGTCTCCAAAGCTTTACTTGATGTTTTTGTGTTCTTCCCTGGAGATTACAAAATAAGTTGAATAATATTCGGACAAATATGCTAAATTTTTCATTTTAAACTATAGACACTAGGGATGGGAATTTGAAAATGTATATTCGAATATTTGACCCCCAAAAAAACGGTTAACCGATTAACCGAAATGTACATATCCTATATCAAAAAAAAAAGAAATGTGGGAAAAATGTTGACCAAAAAAACAAACAAATAATAAATACATGTTCAAATAAGTATAGAAACCAAGTCAAATTTGTCAAAGGTACTGAACTGGTGATCACAGTTTGAACAGTTGACAGCTATAGGCCTACAGCTTTCATGCTTAAAACATAACTTGGTTTTTAAATTAAAGAGGTATCATACACGGACAACTTAACGGGTTAGGGGTAACGTAACCCTATTACAACAGAGATCAACAACCTATAACAGGGCATATGCACAGAATGCAGCTATTCAATACTCATTCTTGTTTAAGAATATGAGCATGTCTACTCAGGGGAGAGGCGGGTGCGGAGGCGATTCACAATCAGGCCAGCTGTAGAGAAGACCCTCTCAGCTGGGATTTGGGCCTAAGATGAGGTTTGAGTCTGCGTGATCTGCGTGTAGGGAGGGGCAGCAGCCATATCATTAGCTAGAACTAGATCTGATGGATTTGGACATAAACTCGAGTGAAGTATAACTGGACACGAGAGAGAGATCAGCACCTGCAGCTCTGCCCGCTGTGAGGGACCGGTGAGCGGATTTAATCGTTCCCATCCCTAATAGACACCAAATTATTTGTATTAAATATAGGGAAATGTCTTTAAACCCAGTGGTAAAAACTGGGTTGAAAGCAAGTGTTAGTAATCACCTTCTGTTTGAATCTGGTTTTAAATATCTAAAAACAACCAGCTCCAGTCTTGTTTTTCACATGGTCCTTGTTTGTGCTGTTTTTGGTATTCAGTCACACTCAAGTTACTGTGCACCAAGTCTTCTTTTTTTCATCAGTTGGAGCTGATAAGTGTCCCTAACATAACTGGACATTTCCAAACCTTAAGTATAATCTACTGTAATCTAATATTGTCCCAAATCAAATGTGTAGAAATCAGGATTAAGGGCTATTCAAGTTCTTAGATACAGTGTGGCCCTGGCTTAAAAACCTTAAATGCTTAAAACCTGTGATTTAACTGGCTGTGAGGTGAAATAAATCCCATCGTCTGTTGTTTGAGCGGCATAAACAAGCACAGACACACACATACTTAAACTGTCACAGGTTTAGCACCCTCTGAACCAGAGCCCCACTAAAGCCCCTATTCAAACTATAGTTATAATTACCAAATGTTCCAAAATACGGGAAGCAAAGCTGATGCATGAGTAATGTCCTTTGCACCTGCGGATGTGTCTGTTTTTCAACTCAATTTCCTCAGCCATTAAGTAGAACTGTGATCTTTAATGTTTGTTGTTGTGGCACAAGGCTGCTAGGTGGGAAGCACACTAGGAGGAAGTAACAGGTGAGGTGTTGCAAACTCCTATAATACAGTGAAACAATAAAGTCATTTTAATTTGTTTGGATTAGTTTCACTTTGTTGAGTCTGATTATGCACCAGATTAAAGAAAACCCATTACTGTATGTGCCTTCCACTCAGAGAACTAACCTACTTAAGTTATTAGTGGAAGCTAGGTGCCTCAAAGGTGTAAGAGTATTCAAGAACATGTGAACCATTACATTCATTATCCCCATGCCTGTGGTTGTCTCTGTTTGTCCCTCAGAGCTCCACATCAGAGACCATGAAGAGGCTGCCTCTCCTGGGCCAGTTCCTTGGCCGACTCTGCTGGAACCCTTGTGTGACTGCTGATGGTGAGAGCAGCTGTAACTCCCTCTGTATTTGGGAATGCGGACTTATGATAGTCTGTTTAATAGCATGAGTCACTGTAATGCTTGTAATCTGTGTAAAGGGTCTTATATAGAACTAGAGATCTAGCGTCCATGGTGTCTTCCTGTTTGCAGCTCCGGGGAGATGGCTGTTGTTTCAGTGTCTGTGGGGACTGTACTCGGAGCATCCAGGCGATGCTGTGGAAACAAAAGCAAATCAGTGGATACGGGTATGGAGTCTTTTTTCTCTATCTGTGTTAATAGTGTACTGAAGTTAATAAGATCTACAATGTGAGCATGTTTTAATATGTAAGTATGGTTACGGTTGATTTCATAGTGATGCAATTTAATTGAACGTTGCTATATCATCATATTGAATTATTGCCAAGCCCTATATAGCTGAGCTGCATTACAGTCAATTATGATGCCGGATGATAAAGGCATGTATCCGTGCTGTGATTTGTATAGGTCATATGTACCCACCTGGTGGGGGTACACAGAGACTGAAGACAACATAAACTCTTATGGTGAAGCTTGAATAGGAGAGAAAAACACGGAAATATTTAGAATATTGAATCGACTGTTCAGTCCGATCATAACACTATTTAGTTGTTATAGTATATTCTCCAATCTTCCTTTTCTCATGCCTGATCTGTTTTGCTCTATATGTCCTGATTAGTACTTGACAGACTCAACATACAGAGTTATTATCATCCCTTTAACAAATACTCCAACAAACTATAAAGAGTCTGTCTTTGAATTCCTTTGCGCTGCTGAAGAAATGTTTGATCTAATTTACTTTAAATATAAGCTCTATTTCGCCCGGCCCTCTGTCTCCTCTGCAGTGGGACATAGATGATGAGTTAGATTGAGTATTTGTTAGTCTTGTGACCAGAACCTAAAACATTTTTTGAAAGCAAAGAATTGACTGTTTCACTGCCTCTTGCCACCATAGAGAGATCGGCTTTTATATTATGTTAGTTGATCCTGCTCACTGTGTTTTCATGGCGCAAACACACAGAGTAGGGAGAGAGAACAGAGGGAAAAAAAGACCCTGCAATTTTAAACTCTGAGAAGGTTCAAACAGATGGCGTATGATAAACAGTGTGGAACCATCAGATTTTTGCCAGTGTTTGTATTCTTTTGATTAATTTCTCATCCAATAAAACATCTTGCTAATTAAAGCAGTGCCTTGAAAGTAAACCTTGAATTTGCCAGATGGTCTTTGACCTGTGAGAGGGGAAGTGGAGTGCATATGTGCATGGTTGTGTTTGTGTCAATATTAAGTGTTTTTGATGGGCATATTGCTCTTTATAAATGTGCATATGTGTAAGTGTGATGGTGTATTGCATTTTGCATTATTAGGACATTGACATATTTTTTCCTTCAAATCAAGGAAAACATTCAGGGTTATATCCTGGCTTTTATGTTGGTGTACCTTCAATCTTTTTATGAATTACTTCATCATTGCATATAGAGCCATTACTGATATAAGGGGAAACTCACGGTATTAAAGGATTCCAGGCCGCAAACGTTAAGGTTTGGTTTTGTGCATTAATACATTAGTATGTTGTGCATTGATTTCTCAAATAGCAGGAGAAACATTAATATAGGCCAATGACTGAGACAAACTCAAACAAACAAAAAGTGGTTTCCTATCTACAGACTCCTTCTCAAATAGTTATCGCATTCATCAATGAACATTTAAAACTGCTTGTGTTCAAAAGTAATTTAAACATTGTATAGACTTAGTTATTGTAGCTTTATGTTTGTGGTACACCGCTGACGGTCAGAGTTAAAGGGTTCCCAGGGTCCACTCTACTCAAACTTACATTACAGGATGAAAGTGATCAAAGGGCACAAATACAATGAACTCATTACCAACTCTAGCTTCTCCTCATTCTCCTTCTCTTCTTCTCCTAATAAGCTTCCACTCCCCACAAGACAAGAGTGCCGGGAAACAAAAACAAAACAACCTATTCACCACGGCTCATCCCATCTGGGGGAGCAGTGCAGATGTATGATTTGAGGCCAGAGATGGTCTGTCTCTGAGTCTCCGTCTGTGTTGTGTTGGACTGCCTCTCCTACATCGCAGATTTCAGCCTGTTTTCTGTTAGCCCCATCTGATCTTGCTACCCAACATTGTTTTCTTGCTGCCTCTATTTAGATTGGGGATCTGGTGCTAAGTGGCACCTAAATACCGTGTTTATGTACGTTTCTGCATGTGCTCGCATATGTGCAAAAACATGTGTTTCACTGCTACTGTATATACGGTTAGTGGCCACATGTATTTGTATCCTTAAATGATGAGAGTATTTTGCCCTCGCCCTGACATCTTCCCCTTACCCCCTCCTGTCTGCCTCTCCTCTCCACATCTAAGTGTTCTCACCGGTTTTGATGATGCTGGGTACAGCCACATAGCTGCAGGCCATGTTAGATAGTCATTAATTCAATCCATGCTTTTCTCTCCATCCTGTCCTAGCAGGGGGACCACACAGTGCTGCAGTAACATGGCATGATCTTTGAGGGAGATGACAGATAAGTCAAGCATGAGAGTGTAATATTAGAGGCCTGGAGGACGGATGGGTTTGATAGCTTAATTTTGAATGACTCAAACAGGGTGAACCACAGGTTGGCCCTCGAGCTACTGTGGCAGCTTTATGGTTTGAAAACACATTTTGAACTCTCTGCTCACACATCTTTGTGAAAATAATGTTTCATCTTTATCTTTCTGTTCTCTTGGGTGGCATCCTTTTTTAAATGTGACTCCCTGGAATTAGTATTTATATTTCTTCCTTTATGTTTCTTTCTTTTACTTTGAGTAGTTTGTGAAATATTCTTATTTCTAATTGTCTTTGTTAAGTCAGTTTGATTAGTTAGTTACATGGGAAATATAAAAATGTCAATCTGTTATACAGTGGAGTGGAGTTACCTGCTATTCATATTCCTTAGCTGCCAAAAACGTTAAGCATTGTCCTGTGAGTCTTGATATCAATTTGAGTGGATACAAATACACTAACCGTATGGAACAGTTAGTTAATTTATACCATTGATTCGTTCCCATTTTAACGGGACACAGAATTGGAAAAGCCAAAGAGAATCTATTTATGTATATTGAAATACCTTATATTCCTGTGGTCAGAAGATGATAGATTGATCTTTAATATAACTTAACATTCTTAAAATTCTATTCTTTAATGCATTCTGTCACTGCACTAAGTTTGAGCACATTTGCTTATAAATTCATTATTTTTGACTAATCCTGGCTTTCTGTATTATTTTATAAAATAATCCCTTTTGTCTCTGCTGTTTTGACCCTCTGAGGCTATACTTAAGACATTGGTTTTGGGATAATTCAGTCATGGCTTTAGTAATTGTTAACAGGCAACCATCAAAACCAACCCAACTCTTTAATTGGTGCATTTTTCCACACCCTCAGTTATTATTTTAGATTTACGGAGGGATACTTTCTATGGCAACATGTCCAGGCCCCCAAAGCGAGCTTGGTTGCTTTGTGAAAGAGAGATGACTTTTGTCCTAAAGTATGTGCCTTCTATTACATTTGCCCTTCATTCAATCCTCAGGTTACCACACCCTTTATTCCCGCTCTTAATGTAGCCATTCCCGTCCCTCTCTGCCATTCCTTCTCACCACCTTCCTCCCTCTGTTATCCCCCAGCCCCACTGTGCCTCTCTTACCCACTGTGGGATAAGTGTGATTGGTTTTGTATGTACTCAATGTGCAGTTTGAGGGCGCTCAGATGGTAGTGATTGGGGTTGTTTTGTGAGACTATGTGGAGGGTAAGCATCTTAGCGTGCTGTAGAGCCCAGCCAAGTAAACCACACAGCTCCACCAGCAGCGCTCCAGTGCTCCTTCGTTTTTTATACTTCACTTATTTTTCCTTTTTTACATATTGTGCCTTTCTCAATGTGTCTCTCCTCATCCTGCGTTGATATTCTTTCATCTGCAGTCCAAAGGGATTTGCACTTTTTTAGTCTACTCTTTGTGGTGAGGTTGTTGCTGGTCTCGGTTCATTTGAGTTGTAAAAACAGATACGTGCTGAAGATGTGAGCCCTTGGCTGTTTCTGTTGGATCACACTTTCCAACTTGTAACAGTAAATCAATTTATTATGGTAGAATAAAAAGGACTGTTTTCATAATTCAGAGGGCTTAAGTCGCAATCCTGAATAGCGATGATTTTTTGCAAAAAATCAGTTTATTAATCATCATCACACAACACTGTACTGTGTGGCATCTTTGTTATTTCTAAGAAAGTTGAAATTGAATGTAACAAAGTCAGACACTCAACCTTCCTTTATCTTTTAAATAATATTGGTTAAGAAAGACAATCTCTTAGGTCTGAGAGCTCTCTCTTGATCACATGATGACTTACAGCAGTGGTTCCCAAAGTGGGGGGCATGACAGGCGCGAGAGACCAGGAGGAAAAATGGTAATTAAAAAAAAAAAAAACGCTAACGGATATAAAGAGTTTTTTCAACAACAAAGTGGAGGAGAGTCCTCTCCTGTCAGACTGAGAGGCTCAGTGAGGTAAAGGACTCTCTGAGTGTTTAGATAGTTAAATGTAGTCTAAGTTATCTCAGTGGGTCTCAAACGTTTTGGTCACCATTAATGTAAACAATTATTTCCGAGGCACACGTTTATATGATCATTATAGTTATAAAAAGAGAATAAATTAAAAACAGGTATGAAATACTATATGACATTAAAAAAAGAATACAGTTTGAAAGGGTGATTTGTAAAATATCCATAAAGAAAACGTAAATCTGTTTACAGTTCTGTTTCAAATGGGTGTTGAGAGATGTATCCATAGATCTCTTCATTTTGCTCTCAAAGTGCACCAGATTGATGCTTTTAACTTCAATATTTAAAAATAAATCTTCCCGGGGGAGCTTGCCCCCGGACCCCCCTATGTGAGGTCCACACACCACCTATAAAAATAGCACTTGACCCCTGCTTACACCTATATGCCTCAAGCCTTCATTGTAACTGTCACACTGTGTATGCGTGTGGGGAATGTTGCAGTAGAAAATTCCACTGTAGCGCCCGGTACATTAATGGGAACCCCTAAATGTTTGAGCACCCTCTATGAAACGTCAAGCTACCCCACAGCACCCCAAAATAAATATCTGGCACCCCCACTGAGCCTGACTATTTGTGTTGGGGGGGCCCGACTTATTTTTTTCTCCAAAGGGGGGGGGGCCTGACAGAAAAAGTTTGAGAACCACTGACTTACAGTATGAGTCTAGCGTGGCCCCCTCTTTGTTCCTTCATTAGTGTGAATGCTCTGCAACAGCATTCCACTATAGTTCTTCTGTTTCTCTTTAATCTTCTTCTTATTTCAACCAATATTTTGCCGTCAAATAACTTCAGCCTACTTTCAGCTACAGAAACCATTCAAATATCAAAAATATTCAGCCTTTTCAGCACACGATGGGAAACTTTCAACTTTTTCAAAATATGTTGTACTTTTTGAAATATTCAGCTTTTCTTTTTTTTTCAATGGGAGGAACCTTCAAATCCTCTTTTACCTACACCGTGCGCCAAATGCTACTCCTTCCACATACTTTCAGCTAGAGACTTAAATCCAACTTTAAAATGATCACAATACATTCAGCTATTAAAATCGTATTCAGACTTAGTTTGGAGCTTGGTAAAGATGCCTTCTTCAGATTTTAACATTAGTGTGTATTGCGCAGCTCGTTAAGTCTAGAGTGCTTTGATCTCAAAACAGAGTGGTGGAGAGCGTGAAATTCGCCCACATTTTTTTTTAAACCTGCCATAACTCCCAAACCCTACACTCATTGGACATAATTTTATGCTTGAATTGTAGGAAAACCTCTCTTACGTTGAAAAATAAAATTAAGCAAAACATTAAAATGCCTCTTGAGGGCATGAAGTGACAAAACCTTTCAACATGTCTCCATTAAGGCCCATTGTAAATTCAGCCTGATCTTTCGTCAGAGCAGCAGTTGCACACCTTTAGTAAATCTGCCAAAAATGCTTCATTATTGACCCGAAAGTGCACAAACAGCAGACTCAGACGCTCGTCAGGGTCCTGAGATGCTGCACGCGTTGACATTTTACTGATATCAGCTACCGTTTTTAAACTATAGTTAGAAATGTAAGAGGTTTATCTCTCATTCAGATCAATGGAAAGGCTTTCCTTTCACTGCACATCTCCATGGTAACCTTTGATCTCTGCACACAGGTGTTTGATAACGTCGTCACCATGGTAACCTTTGATCTCTGGGCTTACACACACAGGTTTGATAATGTTGTCACCTCAAACACAAACACACAGACTGTCTTAGCCTATTATTTTCTGTCTGATGGCGACTTCATACTGACTTCAACATGTTCCACATATTTTATACATTATTGGTGACGTATGGTTTTAGTTCAAACGTTTGCAGTTAAAATATTCTGCTGCTTTTCAAAGTGTTTTTACTTTATTTTCTCTTCTTAATACACATTCATTCACTACTACTTACATTTAATATCTAACTCCTTCAGCCTATTTTCAGCTACAGAAACCATCCAACTATTACATTATTCAGCTATTTCAGGACATTGAGGCTATACATTTGGTTGTTTATACCTTTTTTAAACCTTTTCTTTTAAATATTAAGCTTCTTCACTATTTTTCCTACCCTTCCAGTTTAACATTTCACTTTCAAGTTTTCAACAAAGTTATTGCAATGCATTTGAGCTGTAACAATTTTGATTAAAATCATTTCACTTTTCTGCATTTCTCTGCTCAGTTCAGCAACACACTTACTTGGTTTCTGTAGCTAAAAGCATCTACAGAGACCATTCAACTAATTCAGCGTTTTCTGCATTTTCAGCTAAATTCAGCAATAAATGTACACAGTTTACAGCATTCACACGCATTTTCAGCAGGAAATGCATTTTCTAGTTATGATTAGCTTTTTCTTCACAGACGAGAATCAGGGGAGTTTATTAGTCTAGTTTTATCAGTGTATGATGAGGCCCCTTCTGAAAAATGCTTGTAAAACACCAAGGCCCTCTGTAACAAAGAATGCTCATTTCTGAAGCTGCTCATATGCTGTCCATACATTCTCACTTACTGGGATGCCTTTTCTCCACTCATGTGGTTCAAATGATGTGACGCCACAAGAGTCATCCTATATTACAGTAACTAATTAGCTTTGATGTCAAGGGTCTTGGGGTTTGTGCAGATTGTATTAAAGTATTGTCTAATGTTACAGATATACACATAAAGTACAAATAATCAGCTACACATTATGTCGCCTGACTTTCCGCAGAAGGTGCTGTGTCAGCTCGCTACAGAAGAAGACGATCCTGCAGCGCAGACATTAATGAAGCGAACGGGTGTACCACCTAAAGAGTACCATGTCAAAGTACTTAGGAAGGTATTTGCCTTTATTTTTATTGACTTATTTGTGCCTTTGTTGATACTTTATGTATGTAATTAAAGCAGTACTAATTCCTTCATTTCAGATGGTGGCAATGCTGCAGGAAAACATTGGGAAGAGCTGCAGTTCTTTGGTCGACATTAATCACAGGTATAACACAGAAGTAACCAGAGCTGTAACAGTTATTTTCCTAGTTGATTAATCTGCTGATTCCTTTCTTGAATCATTTTTTGGTCTATAAAAATCAAGAAATAGTGGGGGAAATTGATCATGTTTTCAACAGCCCATTTTAAAGTGTTCACATATCTTGTTTGGCTGTCCTACAGACAAAATCAGAAAGAAGTGAATCCTTACATTTACCAAGCTCCACTAGAATCAAGCTTCTACTAATGAAAAAGTCTTCCCCACTTACGTTATTGCTGGCATTCAGAGTGGTATGCAATTTGTCAGAATTAAAGTGAAATCTTAACATAATAAGATTTGTATTTACTTGCACTATTTTATATGTTTTATTATGTTGCACTGTTGGAGGAGCCTGTGACCTAAGATTTTCATCGACATAACTGCACTGTAGCTATGTACAAATGACAATAAAAGCCTTGAATCTTGAGATGATATGACACTTTTTTTTCTTTGCAGGTCATTGATTAGCATTTCAGATAATGCAGATTTTGTCTCGGTGCAGGTGTTCATGTGACAACCTTCTGGCAGCGTCAGAGGCTTGTGTCCCCCTGGTCTCTCTCCCCGAGACGGCTCCTCTCATCAGAGCTCTGTTGCAGCAGCCAGCGACTTGTGTCAGGGCAGCACTCAGTCAAGACTTCCTGGACGCTCTGACCTCTGCCTACTCCAGGTAGGGAGTTCCTGCTGTAAAATATGTTTTCAATAAGTTTTACTATTGATTTACAGTATTAGATTAATCCTTTTTGGAATATTTCAGATGTTATATAATTAGGTGCTGTTTTCTTTCAGCAAATGCGTGTTATTGGAGGAGCAGGAAGTAGTCTCTCTGTGGTATCATAGCCTGTCCAGTCTGGAGGAGGCAGTGCTCAGTTTGCTGGAGTGTGTTCTCCCCGACACAGGTTACACACCACAGGAGCTGAAGCGGCAACTGGCACAGTCCTTGCTGGTGGGTACTTTTTTTGTTATGAGGTCTCAAAATCCTAACTTAAAAACCATAAAGGCATGCGTTTCTGCGATAGATGTGATCTGATTTGCCCAAAACATGTTTCAATTATGATACTCATTTTGTTTAGGGCTACAATTGTTTTTCTTATTATTAAATCTGCTGATTTTCTCATTTAGAGTATAAAAGACCAAACGGTGTCAGATATTGCTGCATCATGATTTACCAGAGCATGAGGCGACATCTTGAAATTGCTTGTTTTGTTCAACAGTCCATAAGCAAAAGATATTCAGTTTGCAATTAAATGAAAAAGACATGAGAGTGAATTTCTCTTTTGAGAAACTGGATCTCTGTTATTGTTAGACATTTTTGCTGGGTTGGAAAAATACTGATGAATAAATGTTATGAATAGTCTCCCACTTATCATGACAATGGTGGATGAAATAGGTGAAATGTCCAATTATTTTTCAAATCTGGTTTTTGCAAGTGATTTCTAAGTAAGTGTGTAGTGGAACCCGAGATTTAAAGTATATTTTTGACCTTTTTTTTCTCCAACATCGTTGTGGGAAGGGGTTGGTTTTTGAGAGCCAGGCAAAAGACCAAAGTATACTGAAATGTTTTTGTGGACCTGGAATTGTTATTTGATCGTGAGAGTGCTTCTTAAGCATATCATCAACTTGTGATATTGCTGTCGAGTAACCAATGATGTTGATCCTCACAGTTAGAGTTGGAGAGAAATGTGTAGATCATCATGTCATTGTGCTGTGGCATTTTCTGCTGCATGAATTAGCGGCATTGTTCTTAAATTGGTGACATATTGCTGTTGTTAAATGGGTTTGTTATTTACATAGTTTGACTCATCTGCCCTGAATTACAGAGTCTCACATCAGAAATCACTTCACACTCCATGTGTTATTAGCTCCATATTGAACTGCTCTGTAAACTGAAACCAAACAGCTTGAATATAAGGCCTGCTCATTTATTTTGAGGTATGGCATTTGTAATGTTTTTGTATGCATAGTTCTTGGAAGCGTTCCATTGTTTTGTATTGGTGGACCTTTATCGACTGTTTTTGCCTGGCTAACTCACGCCATTTGGCTAAGCTCTGCATGCATCTCACATCATTTGGCTAGCTCTAAACGGCATATCACATCATTTGGCCTGGGCTACGCAGCTTTACTGTGCTGGGTAAGTACTGAACTCTCTGTCACTGGAGATCTTGGCCTACTCACTTTATATAACTTAAAACCATGCCTTGTTCAAAAGTAACAAGTCATTTCTCATTTATAGGTTGTTATGGTGTTGTTGAAGATAATGTCCTCATTACTACAATGCAATCAGAAAATACCAGCAGTGTTTTGTGTTCTTTTAACTTGGCCTCCAGTGGCTGCTTTTTATCCCATAATAATGTGGAACATGCTCATAGACATATAATCGCACAGACATAGCAAGGATGACAATGAAATGATTACATGTGTCACTAAAACTACACAATTCCATAAACCTCAGACAAAACACAAAAATCTAGACCTATCTATAAAGTAATATATTCACCTGGTGGGCAAGATGTACAAATGGAGTGGAGGGTAGGAGGGTAATCTATTTGGACATGTTTCCTACAAATTGTTTATGCCAAACATCTGTGCCAAGCAATACAATACCTTGTGCGCACATTTATGAATGGAGTCCTATTTACCTAGGTTACTGATTGCCTTGCCTTTTGGGAGTTTTAAACATCAACAAAACAAGAACCTACCTGTCTATTGCCTCATGTTAATTTAGGCAACGTTTGTAAGTTGTGTCACTCCTGTGTTCCCCGAGTGATGGTCCACTTGAGCTGTGTATATATATCAGGCTAGAATGCACACGTTTTCAGTTTAAGATCTATCCAACAAAAGTTAGGATAGATTAGAACACATTGGTGTACATGTTTATGCACTGCTAACTTCAAATGTACAGGAATATGCCTGCATGTCAATTGAAGAGCCAGTATAAGAGAGATAATGTGTGTGTGTGTGTGTGTGTGTGTGTGTGTGTGTGTGTGTGTGTGTGTGTGTGTGTGTGTGTGTGTGTGTGTGTGTGTGTGTGTGTGTGTGTGTGTGTGTGTGGTGTGTGTGTGTGTGTGTGTGTGTGTGTGTGTGGTGTTTGTGTGTGTGTTGTGTGGCCTAGCATTACTATACTTGTGGGGACCCTAAATCTGTTTACAACAGTCACGTGTGGGGACTCGCCTCCCTTATGGGGACAAAATGGAGGTCCCCTGAGGGGAATCATTAATTTTAGGGTGAAGACTTGTTTAGGTTAGGTTAAGGGTTAGGGTAAGGTTAAGGGTAAGGCATGTGTTGGTTAGGTTAAGGTTAGATAAGTCTCCAGGAAATGCATGTAAGTCAATGGAATGTCCCCTGAAGTGATGTGTGTGTGTTGTGTGTGTGTGTGTGTGTGTGTGTGTGTGTGTTGTGTGTTGTGTGTGTGTGTGTGTGTGTGGTGTGTGTGTGTTGTGTGTGTTGTGTGTGTGTGTGTGTGGTGTGTGTGTGTGTGTGTGGTGTGTGGTGTGTGTGTTGTGTGTGTGTGTGTGTGTGTGTGTGTGTGTGTGACATGTTGGCTGTTTACTTCTCTGCCCCGCAATGGAACTATTTGTTTACCCTCTCATCCATCTCTGATCCACCTCTGTTTTTATCACCTTGCTAGTTCACACGCACATGTGTGCATGCGAGCCCTGACACACATATAAACATAAACTCACATGCCGCCATGCTCTGTTTATGATATTGCATCTGGTATAGCGTGTCAGGCGTTAAGATGGTGGGAGGCATACGATTAGGTTTCACTTAGCCTTCAGGTTGTTTGGATGTCAGATGTGCGTTTCACAGGCCTGTCTGTCTCTGTTGGTGTGCAGGTGTGCAAGAGCCACACAAAAAGTGAGAGGCGTACTAGCTGACTGCCTTGTGTCTCCTCTCTTCTCCCTTTCACTCACTTGTTTGAACTGCAATAAAAAATGGGAAACATGAAATTAAGCTCACATTCCTCATTTTGGCTGGTCCCACCGCTCTGTGATCTAATGAGAGACACAAACCCAATAACAATAAACACTCACATCCTGGGCCTACCTGGCAACGAAAAAAGATGTTTGTTGTGTGCTGTAATTGACCCCCCTTGAAATATTAGTGGTAAGTTATGGAGGAGGATGCTCAGAAAACCCATCTGTTTTCAGTAGGGGCAACGATGTCAGTCTGCACACACGCATGCATGCTGGCATGAAAGCCACATACGCAGGATCACACTGACACACATAAAACGTAGGCCAACGTATTGCGGATTCCAAACTAAACAGTAACATGCACGACACGTTTTGTTTGATTGATGGATGCTGTGCAAAGACAAAAGAGAAACAGACATGGCACAATTGAGGATGAAAGCACTTGATTAGTGTTGGATTATTGTAATGATGCCATATAAACACTGGGTGGGGCTGTTCGTACTGATTGACCTCACTTAGTCTCTAGTTGGTCTGTTACCCTGGCCCTTTTCATTACATTTGGAGGTACATGTGTGCCTTGACAGGAGCAGGAAAACAATCTTAAACGCCTCTTTACAGAAACAGGTTTTAGGTTCATTTTCGGCTTTGGTGTACTGAATGCTTTTTAATAGTGGGCAACTGTGGCTGCGGTGATCTTTCAACCAGAAGGTTGTTGGTTTGATCCAAGCCAATGCAGTCAATATGTCGATGTGTCCTTGGGCAAGCTACTTAACCATGAGTTGTTCCCAATGGCATGGCCAACTGTGTATGAATGCGAGTGAATGTTAGCTTCCTAGAGCAAGTGGCACTGCTGTGTGTGAATGAGGTGTGAAAGGGTGAATGGTGACTCGTAAAGACTGGATAAAGCACTATACTGTAAAACTAAATCCATTTAAGTACAGCCCATTTACCATTTAATAGACGCTTTACCCCATTATTAACTGATGACACAGATGGCAGGTTTAAAATGTGCTGTATGTGAAACAAACAAATAGAAAACATATACATGTATGATTGTGGTGCTCTTTAACTACATATGCTGCTCTTATAATGAAGAATATATCCTTATAGGAGTGTTCAGGGAGAAAGTGAGACTAATTGGGGACTACAACATATATAAACGTGTAGAGAGCGGCTGATGTGGAGAGTACAGCTATTAAATGTTTCTACTGGGGCGTTTTAGAATGTGTTAAATCTAAAACACATGATGAATGTGCATTAGGCAAAGATGAGAGAGTAAGTGTGTGGGTGTGTGAAGGAAGAACTGACAGAGTGCTTAATGAGGAGAGAGTGAGAACAAGGGGGAACAGTGGCTCAATGGGGGTGTATAGATGATGCAACAGTGACATCCAGTGGTCATATATCGTAAGTTAATATTGAAATTTGGTTAAAGGTCCCATGACATGGCCATTTCTACTGATCATAAGTCCATTGTTGAGGTATACTAGAATAGATTTATGTTGTGCAATTTTCCAAACTAACATTGGTTTCTCATACAGCATCTCTGTATAGTATGTGTTCACTCTCTGTCGTAAACGGCTTGTTGGAGCTACTGCCCCCCCTCCCTATGAGCCCAGTGTGCTCTAATTGTCAGGGGCAGTTCTAGGGGGGGGCCAGGGGGGACCAGTGCCCCCCTAACACTGACCTCTGACCCCCCTGTGGCCCCCCTAACAATGAAATGTTTTTTTCTTTTCTTTAAATGTATATTTTCTGGTACTCGGTTTGCCAAAAACCGCAGGATTTTGTTGCTGTAATGTGAGATTGTGCAGACACCCTTATGTAAAGTAGAGATGTAACTGTTCATTACCTTTATTTTTATATAAATATGGTGTTAGTGCAAACATTGCACTATAACTTAAGCTGAAGCTAACAGTACTAACTATAAGATCTATCTGAAATAAATAAGTGTACTGAAACAAATACCAATAACTGTATTGCATTGTTTTCTTATGCGCAATTACTTCATACTGTCTAGTTCTCTTTTTCATCCTGCATTTATTGTGCCCCCCTCAGAAAATAACTGGCCCCCCAGTGGCCCCCCCAGTCAAATTGGTCTAGAACCGCCACTGCTAATTGGTCAGCTCGCCCACTCTGTTCTGATGAGTCCACTACCGTTACAGCGGAACATCAGTGATTATGTGTTACAATGGCGTTAGCAACCAGAAAGTGACACCAGTAATGACAAACAGATGAGAATGCTGCGTGGGGTCTGGGTGCCGTGTTGGCGGGACGTTGCGAGGCTCGCTGCTGCAAGGAGCGGACAGTATGAGCAGGCTTACTGGTGTGGTTTCCGGGTCAGCGAGACACAGCCGAAACCAGCCCGAGCACACACACACACACACACACACACACACACACACACACACACACACACACACACACGCAGACACGCAAGCCTCGCTGTGTTCCGCCGTTAGGCTGAGAAATCCGCGGAGCTGCAGCTGAGAAAAGATTGTGTGTGTGTGTGTGTGTGGAAGTCTACTTAACAAGCTAAGTCCGTAACAGGACGTAACGGCTCCGCGGATTGGTCCATTTGGACCAATTGGTCCATGGGGTACTCGTTACATCACGAGGTTCCCGGAAGAAACAAATGGAAAAAGAAACATCTCCAACGAGGTGTTTTGGAGCAGCATAGACAGGTATTTCCTGTGTTAGAGTTTTACACACACACACACACACACACACACACACACACACACACACACACACACACACACACACACACACACACACACACACACACACACACACACGCAAGCCTCGCTGTGTTCCGCCGTTAGGCTGAGAAATCTGTGGAGCTGCAGCTGAGAAAAGTGTGTGTGTGTGTGTGTGTGTGTGTGTGTGTGTGTGGTGTGTGTGTGTGTGTGTGTGGTGTGTGTGTGTGGTGTGTGTGTGTGTGTGTGTGTGTGTGTGTGTGTGTGTGTGGTGTGTGTGTGTGTGGTGTGTGTGTGTGTGTGTTGTGTGTGTGTGTGTGTGTGTGTGTGTGTGTGTGGTGTGTGTGTGTGTGTGGTGTGTGTGTGTGTGTGTGTGTGTGTGTGTGTGTGTGTGTGTGTGTGTGTGGAAGTCTACTTAACAAGCTAAGTCCGTAACAGGACGTAACAGCTCCGCTGATGACCGTGATGTAACGAGTACATCACGAGGTTCCCGGAAGAAACAAATGGAAAAAGAAACATCTCCAATGAGGTGTTTTGGGGCAGCATAGACAGGTATTTCCTGTGTTAGAGTTTTACTCGCTACAGGGTGTACTTGAGGGTTTTTGACTCTCCAGACCGTTTACATGCATAAAAAGCTACATAACACACAAGGGGACGAGTAATAACCAGAAAAGCAGGACATGGGACCTTTAAATGTATAGAATGGATTAGTGAAATAGATTATCATGTGGTTATCATCAACCTTTTTCTATACTTTTGTACTGTCAACATTTACATTGAGTTTTTTGTGTGTTTCAGCCTAAAGCCTGTGCTCAACACTGCTCCATATTTCTGGTTGTGAACGACATCTTCAGGTGAGAGTTGGTGTGTTATTTTGAGGCTATGTGTGCTAAGTGTTAAAGGCTTTTAGTATCATGTTCTGGCCTGATAAAGTGTGTATTTCTGAATGTTTGTTGACGTACTGCAGTGGCATTCCCAATAATGGCGTGTGTCCGACAGATCTTTCCTTAAGCAAGCTGAAGGGAATGAGTCCGTCAAGTATCTCATCCAAACCTTTTCCAGCTGTTTCTTCAGGGAACTGGCTCTGCTGCAGCATAAGGTATTCCTCAAGTTTCCTGCAACATATGTGAAAGTCAGACTTAAATATTTATTTGGACAATTTCAATTCTAACAATTAGATTGAAATCCAACATCATGAAGCCAACTGTGGTTACAAGAGCAGACATTGTTGCCGACAAAATGCCGCATTTAATGCTACTGCTGCTAAATTTGATGACCAAGGAATTACAACATGTTCCTCTTTATTACTTCATATGACTGCATCTACTGTAGAAAACTTTCAACTTTACAAAGCTGTCTATTTATTCGTATTTACCATCTTAGCTGGGAGTACAAAAACACTACTATGCTATAAACAAGGAACTCCCCATGCAGGCAAAATCACTTAACATTTGATAAATCTTCCACATCATTATCACTTCATCTCCAGCTGGGAGCTCGCTACTCACACTACACAAACACCACAGTTCACACATCTGTCTCGATGATAATAAATAAAAAAAGCTTTTGGAGCATCAATTTGCGGGTATTAACTTTGCACAGATAAAACACCTGTGACATGTGGAAACCACTGTGAGCTGTAGCACTAATGTGTCACAACGTACATTTCAACTTTTGCATCAACTCTCAGGCACCACAGATTCTCTCACATACACATGAGTCTGTGCAGGGAACCCTCCATCCACACATCCTGTGTGCCTGTGGGGAATTATCAGGCTCTGACATGTCAGTCATTACTGTCAATAGGACGGAAAACATGTGTTACAACGTAGGTGTGATGTATTAACTAATTAACAGTTCTGTGGATATAGTTGATCTCCTTTTCACCTCTATTAACCAGCAGATGGCAGTGCTACAGTGTATACGCAGTGGATTTGAAGTTAATGGCTGAAGTCACACTGCACTAAACACTCCCTATTACACGCTACATTACACATTAGCACCTACTGTATCACTGTTACACAGACTACCATTCAAAATGTCATTTCTCAGGCTTTCAGAGCACTGGTGTATGTGTTCAAGGTAAAAATGATTTACATTTATGAAGCTCAGGAAAATGTGTGCTTTGTGTTGGTTCAGACGAGTGGTTCTTTGAAGGCCTCGTTCCCACAGTCACCTCAGAGTCTGCTGATTCCTCTTTGGACCCGGCCGTCAGGTCAGTGTGTGCACACACACTCATCCACGTATGCGTGTGTGGCTGTGTGTGTAGGTATCTGGATATTTAACTCTTACACAATGCACAAAACCCTGTATTGATAGAAGAAGGTCAGGTATTATTTAACTGTGGGTCAACAGAGTGTTCCTGCTGCAGAGTGAATGGGCTCTTGTGTGTGAATCAATTACAGTTAGTTAACCACACTGAGTGTTTTATGTTAAATATAAAAGTTATAAGACATAATGTCGAACAGTAGTTATACTCAGTGTTGGTTATCATATTAAATAAATACAGAAGTTTATTGAGTTGCCTGTTTTGTACAAGCTACATTTGACTTCTATAACTAAAATCATACATTTTCTAACACAAACACAATAATGCATCTTATTATTATTCTTTATTAAGATGAATATATTTGATCTAAACTGAAAATGTAACACCAGTGTTTATCTATGGGAATATTTACTGTTAATGTACGCTTAGTAGGTGAGTGTAGGCACACAGGGGAGCAGAGCTTATCAGTGTGTGCCCAGGCTGGCCTGTAGGCAGGAATGATTTACATGAATGGAGCCATTTAGGGACACACTGGAGCCCAGCCAGAACTCAGAGTTAATTATTGCCCTGTGTGTGTGTGTGTGTGTGTGTGTGTGTGTGTGGTGTGTGTGTGTGTGTGTGTGTGTGTGTGTGTGTGTGTGTGTGTGTGTGTGTGTGTGTGTGTGTGTGTGTGTGTGTGTGTGTGTGTGTGTGTGTGTGGTGTGTGTGTGTGTGTGTGTGTGTGTGTGTGTGGTGTGTGTGGGTGTGGGTGGGTGTGGGTGTGGGTGGGTGTGTGTTATGGGTGTGGGTTTTACTAGAAACTTAACCTAAACGGTACTATGAAAAGTAGACATTTTGAGTTTTATCATGATTTGTGCTTCCTCTGTAAAAAGTTATAAATGAAGACATGGCAGTGTTAAAGTATTCTGTAAAGTGTGTGTCAGCCATACTGCAGGGCTTTGGTACAACATTGGGTTTGTGGTAGGGGAGTTATTTTCCAAAGAACAATGTGGCTTGCGACAAAAAAACACTCTAACCCTTTAAGCACAAAAAAAAAGAATAGCTGGAAAACAGGAACATCAAGTAGTTCAGTTCTGCTTGGAAAATACTTGGGCCTGATGTTTGGGAAGTTGTAACTTGTGGTACCCTCTGAACGGCTATAACTTCACTTTCTAAATGTGTCTTGCATTTAGAAGCATTCTGCATTGTAACATAAGAATAGTTAGATCTTATGGGAAATTAACTTATTGGCTCTCTTGCTGAGGGTTATATTGGAAGAATGAAGCCACACTTATGTCGGTACACCAATAAGATGCTACTGCCACCAGCTGCTTAGCTTAGCTCGGCACTAAGCCTGGGAACAGGAGAAAACAGCTAGTTTGGCTCTGTCAAAAGTCAACATAATCTGCCACTAGCACATAACTCACTCATCAGCTCATTTGTTTAATACAAACAAAACCCAAGTGTAAAATAACGCTGAAACAAACCTTTTTCAAATTACAAAAACATTTCTGGTTCCAGCTAGCATGTGAATATTTGCTGGTTTAATATGATTGTAAAGAACATATCTTTTGTTTTACTATTAAGTGGACACAAAAATATATAACTGGATTCTCTAAGGCTTGTGTCTGCATTTTTACTATTCTTCTGACATTTTATATACCAAACAATGAATAAAGAAAATGACAAATTCATCAATAGTGAAAATAAACTCAATTGTGGTGAGGATTCTTGTCTCCACTTTGAAGTTGCCAGGCAACAGCTAAGAAGTTTTGTATGTATTGGCAATAAATAGTCCCTTACATTACCCACCATTAAACCAAATCCTGTTACTTTTACCCTTAAGTTTTTGTAAAGATTAAACATATGACATATTATAGCTTTATATTTACTGTCCTAATATGAGAATGGCATCTTTTTATATACAGTAACCCTTAGAAAGGAAGCAAATAAATGTATTTTCCATAATGTTGAACTATTTCTTTCACAATGACTAGATAGCTGGCTTTGAATATTGTGTATACCTAGATTGTCTTGGTGCTTCTATGTGCTGCAACTTTATATTTTGTATACCTGAATCTGTTCTTGCAGAGATGCCTCAGGAGGCTTGGCGACATCACCTGAACTGGCTCAGCTGCTCCTTACAGAGACTGACCGAGGAGGAAGAGGAGGGAGATGAAGACGGAAGCAGAAGCACCAGGTTAGAGTGAGAATATGTTCATGTGTGTCTCCCTTGTTTCTTATTTCCATGAGCTTCTGTTGAGGGGATGTTTAGTCAGAGGTCCTTCCGGGTGCAGTGTGTGGCTTCTCAAACCGAGTATGAAAGGCTATGAGCTTGGGAATGAGAGAGCTGTTGAGAAATCCGGTGTTAAAAAACTCAATAAGAGAAAAGGAATGCAGAAGAAGAACCAAAGGAGGAAAACATGCCACGTTATTATGAAGTATAGAAAAGCAGAGAGTGAGAAAAAGAGGACTGAGGATACTCATAAAAAGCAGAAAGCAGTTGATGTCCAAGACAGAGAGGGCTGACTTGACACCCTTCAGCTGCAGTTTTTAACAGGGCCCATTATTCCCACTGCTGCTCTTTCTGGAGCTCCAAGCTAAACTCCCAAAACATTGTTCTGAGCCAGCGTTGGAGAATAAACATGTTGTGTTGCTCACTGTGACCATGCAGCTGCCAGGGCTCTGCAGAGGGGAGCTGTGGGGGAAGAGGAGGATGAGGAAGAGAGGCATAACGACGGTATTATGGACATTTGAGAAAGAGACATTCTTATCACTCTTCTACCTTCAAGTTATAGTCTCTTGTTGCAGCTGTTGGAATCTGCTTTGTTAACATGTATTATAATATCCCCCCTTTCTCTCCTTTTTTTCCAAGTTGTTTTTTAATGTTTGGAGAACAATTTGGGTGTACACTGGCGCTTCCTGTGAAAACCACCCAAATCACCTTAGTTTATAGATATTAAAACCTATTTATAGCACTGCAAGCTAAATGACCCAGGAAGTTCCAGTAGAATGCTTCGTTTATAACCCACCATTACAAACTGAAATAGAAAAAAGATAATACATTTGACCAAATGTTGTATTTAAAGGTCCTCTTGTGTTTTTTTTCCAAAGTGTTGAGCTCTGTCTCGTAGTATGTGGACTTGCTGACTCATTTAATCAAGATTGCTGCCATGCTAGTAGGTCAAATATATTTATTATGCTCAAGGTAATAGCTGATTTTGACTATAAATGATTCAGTTATTTCTTTAATAGTATAATATTCATGCTGGGGAAGGGTCTAGCTGCAGTCTCACAGTCTCTCCATTTTACGAGGATCTTCTGCTTACTCTATACTACTCTTATAGTAATTGCTCAGACAGTCAGACAGTGCTACTTGCAGAAAGTCCTTCAGCTCCCATGATGCCCAGCGTACGGATAAAGCCGTGTGTGTGTGTGTGTGTGTGTGTGTGTGTGTGTTGTGTGTGTGTGTGTGTGTGTGTGTGTGTGTGTGTGTGTGTGTGTGTGTGTGTGTGTGTGTGTGTGTGTGTGTGTGTGTGTGTGTGTGTGTGTGTGTGTGTGTGTGTGTGTGTGTGTGTGTGTGTGTGTGTGTGTGCTCTAGGGGGCACCTCAGGGTGTTTGAGGCCTGGTTCCTGCTGATCCAGTGTGCCCATTGGGTGCAGGTGGCCGTCCAGCTGCTGGCCACATCGCAGCCTGAGGACTGCGGCCCCCCCCTGTGGCTGCTCACCTTCTACCACCACCCCACCAACAGAGGGCACCACAGAGCGTCACAGCTGGTAAAGTTTCAAAAACAATATGGATAAAATATATTATTAAATGTAATTGTTAAACTTGTCCAGACATTCATGGTCCCCAGAGGATATATCCCCTGACTTTTCCCCTAGTATCACTTACATTTCATTGTTTAACTTTAATTTATGTCCAAGTACAAACCTGATGTCATTTCCATCGGCCACAGCTGTACTTGTGTTTAGTGCTAATTAGCAATGTTAAAGATGTTCAATGCTAAACATTTGACCTTTAAACGTCAACGTTAGCCTTGCCATTGTGAGCGAGTTAGCATGCTGGTCTCGAGCTTAAAACACTACTGTGCCCAGTCTCTTAAAGAAGTCATTGTGGTCTTGTTTACCATTTAATTTGGAAACCTTTGTATGTATAACTTGAATCCTAAATCGTTGAGGTCACTGAGGGATGAACAATATCAAAAATATTTTGAGTAAAGTTTAGCATAAATAAATGTCACCTTTTGTCTTAAGTTAGCCTTTGTGTGCACAGTAGACTGGAGTAAAATACGTTATTTGGTAACTGGGAATCAAGTTTGAATTGTGACCCCAAGAATTAAATTGGAATCAAATCATATAATACCAAAAAAAACGTTCCCTACTACTGATGTGCCGAGCTTTGTTTGATATGACTAGAGAAGGTAGTAGTGTGGATATATCCAGTCTATCTATAGCACGTGCAATATCATAACTCAACAACATGACACTTTGAATGGTCTGTTGTCATGCTACTTGTAGTTGAAAGCCATGGAACAAATATAGAGAAAGAAGAATAACACATTAAATGATACATTATTGATGATCTGAGAGGGGAAGAAGGAGACAGTGGCAAAGAGAGTAACAGATGAGGGAGGGGTGAAGAGGGCGATGTAGTATTGATTCCTCAGTGAGTGTCTGGCCGGCTGGCCTGAGTTTCATCTCTCTGTCTCCTGTGTGTCCGCCTCCTCTCGTAACCTGGGAGACTCGCTGTCGTCGCCGCCGTCTCTCCCTTTACGATCGTTCAATCAACAATGAATAACTAATCAATTGATTTTTGTTTTGTAGGAAAGAAACTTAAATCAATTATCTTGATTCCAGCGTGGACTGTGGATAAAACATGTCAGCTGTGAATAACTGTATCCTGTTCTCTGTGTTTCCAGGTACATGCCAAAGAAGCATGGACCACCTACGCTCTCTGTTCTTAGCTCATCCTCTTCCTGTTGACTGCGTGCAGTTATTGGTCACTCTGCTGTCCCCAAAAACTCAGCCAACATCACCGTCACCCTTTTTGATCCTCAGTCTCTTAGTCAACTTCTGTGTTTTCTTCCAACAATCGCTGAGTGGGTCAACAGAGATTCTACAAACGGTGAGAAAAGGATTTGTTTTTCGTCCACCAAAAATCTCATTCAGACATTATCTCATCTTGTTCCACACATCCCATGGTTAGTCATGCACATGCACTCGGTGTACATTTTGTCCCGATACAATATATTTTTTACTTGGGACTGGATGTTCATTTTTGACCTTATAAAAGCAGTTGTCATAAAAAAAAATGATACCTCGAGGTCCACTTTATAGCTTTTCTGGAGCTTTTCCCCAGTGTCACACAGTATTCATTTAATCACTTCAAGCCCCTTATCTTTTAAAGTAATACAATTTCAAGTTACCATATCCTGGTAAAGCTGTACTTCAAACAATCATATATTTGTTTAATCTTTGTGTGTGTCCAGGTGGTGAACCGGTCTGGTCTGGTTAATGAAGCCGTGTGTGTTCTCAGCTCACTGGAGCTCAGGCTCAACGAAGATAGCTGCTTATCAAGCGACACCAACAGAGTTCATCTCAGGATCAAGGCACTTCAAAACACACTAACACATATGTGTGCAGCATTGAATCCTGCCAACACACACACACACAAACATTAATCACAGAGCCACGCAGCCGCGAGTTCATCCTCGACGCAGGTTTTCTCAGGGCACCTTTGCAGAATGACAAATAGCCAGGCTCTTGTCTAGATGTGCTGCGGTGCGGTGACAAGTGTGTCAAAACAACACAGCAGGGACAGATTATGTGGAGAAGCTACAATGATATGCACTCACACACACACACAACTACAAGGACACTTGAGCAGTGACAGATCACACTATAAAGAAGCAGCAGCTCGTACATTGTGTTGAAGTCCTCCCACTCATAAAATTTGCTTACAAAAAAAAATCCTTCACATTATACATGCTGACTGAAAGACATTTGTTTTTGGAGAAAAGGAAAAATAATTGCCACTTATCTTTGTATAAATACTATTTGTTTTCAAATGTTTCTATTGATAAGATATTCAAAGAGTATTGTAAATATGATAAAATATAAATAAATGGATGTCACTTCTTTATCTTTGTTTCCTATTTCTTCATTATTTAAAAAAAATGGAGAATGACTTTTTCATCGTTTCATTCATTTGAAGTGCAGGCATTTAAATGTACAATTTTCATTTTCATTTTTCATTTCATATGATTCGACTGAACATTGTGTGGTGTGTGGTGTGTGTGTGTGTGTGTGTGTGTGTGTGTGTGTGTGTGTGTGTGTGTGTGTGTGGTGTGTGTGTGTGTGTGTGTGGTGTGTGTGTGTGTGTGTGTGTGTGTGTGTGTTGTGTGTGTGTGTGGTGTGTGTGTGTGTGGTGTGTGTGTGTGTGTGTGTGTGTGTGTGCACACGCGAGTGGGTTCAAAAGCAACATTTAAAAACTGATATCCCCTTGTTTGAATACAATAGAAGGGAGTTCTTATTGAGGTCGATATTGAAGTCAACACAAAAGTCTTACCTCTTGGAGAAGTTGTAGTGAAGCATCACACTTTAGTACACAGTTTGTACAGTGACTTTTTAATACAGAAATATAACATATTTTCACCTGGTTTGTTAAAAAATGACTTGGATTTCACTCAACCTTTATGTATAACAGTATAAAAGAACTACCACCAGAAGTAGGTTATACATAATCATGTTAGGTTATCTGAAATGTATCTGGCTCTAATAATTCTACTTATTAGCATCAAATCAGTTTAGTAGGCAGGCTGTACTAACTCCAGGTTTTCCTCCTTCAATGAATGCTTTAAAAAAGTAATGTGTTTAATATGAAATGTTTTTTAGCTTCAACGTATCAAGTCTGATGATTATTTGTTAACATAGCAGTTACAAAACCCTCATTACACGTATTTTCCAGTGTCATTACAGGACAGTGGCCAGATGTAATTTGTATGTATAAAATATGACTCACCTGAAAGTATTTTCTATCTAAACTCTTAAGAACCAGATCATGGCTTCAGACTAAACACACGTGAAGTCACACCTACAACACGCAGAGAAACTTAAACACAGCAGCTCAGGTTATTTAAACAACGATGGCCTGTGCAGTGTTTTTATCCATAGAATACCTCTCTTTTCTTCCACTATCTATCATTTTAGACAGGTGGCATGATGTCATTTTACTCTTGTACCACAGCATAATGTATTAAACCACCCTGCATCCTTATAGGAACAGTTTGTATAGCTTTTTGTTCACAGACAGTTATTTATTTAGACATGGACAGAGCTGCCTCTGAACATTGCCAGTTTGCCTTGGCTGTAAGAGCGCAGCCTTCTGGTGTCCACCCTGCCGAGTGATTCTGCAGCATCTGCCCCCCGACAGAGGAAGAGGAGGTGAGCGCTGGACCCTCGCAGTCTGATTGGAGTCAAGCTCCTGTCAGCTCCGTCTGTAGTTGGAACCTGGAAGAAAGATAAATGTTCAGATTAGAGCATTACAGAACATCTGGGATACTTTGATATCCTGGGGCGGAACAGTTGGTATCTCTCTGCTAAAAATACTGTGTGTGTTCAGTCTTGACAAAGAAATCCACATTAGATATTGTTTGGCCTAAAACAACAAAATATTTGAGGGTTTAAGAATCCGTTGTGAATAGATCGACCATTAGAGTTGTTGAAGGATCTCTAATTAATTACAGAACAGTATTTAGAAAATAATCTGCAGTTTTACAGTAAATACTAATGAAAACACAATTAGGGCTGTAAAGAACTCATCTAAAAATGTGTTAAATATGTTGATGAATTGTTTAGACTTAGGTTTATATTAGCAAATGTGACCTATTTTCCAGAAACCAAATCCCAATCTTTAAACTGCCCATTTTTTCAAGTCCAACCGAACACAAAGGCAAGGCAATTTTATTTATACAGCACTTTTCAGCACGTGGCGATTCAAAGTGATTTACAGATTAAAAGCAAAAGACATTTAAGAACAAATACAGCATAAATACATTATTAAAAAGACATTTAAAAACAGGCATAATAAGCAAAGGTAATGAAATAAAAAATAAATAAATAAACAGCAGGTACAGAATACATGACTAAAAAGGCATACTGTAGTGTGAGTATGGGCAGCTCAATTAAAAGCAGCGGCAAATAGGTGCGTTTTTAGTCGGGATTTAAAAATAGGAAGTGTTTCGGCGGACGTGCGCGATTTAGTTCCAAATTGTTGGGGCATAATAACTAAAAGCTGCTTTTCCAAAGATATTCTTATAATTAAATCAGCACTTATTCTTATTGATTATCAAATGTATTTACAATGAATTGTCTGCCGATTAACTAATCACTGAATGGACACATTGTATCAGCAATAGAGTCACTACAGTATGGTGAAGGTTAATACCACAAACAATGATTTATCAGCCTGGCTCTACAAAGAAGGTCCAAACGTGTTCGATGTGTTTATGGCATAGTGTCCTAAGATAATTACAGTACATAGTTTCCATGAAAGTCTTAATTTAAATGCATGAAATTGATAAATGATCTCTTTATACAGTAAAATACATAACAAAAAACAATTCAAATGAGCATTGTGACAACAACGTAGATGTAATCATTCAATGACAAAAAAGTATCTTTTGAAACAAAATCCAGAATCCTTCATTTGTCCAATAAAGGTTGAGACTCGTGCTTTTCTTTGCGTCTTGTTGGGTGGTTAGTGGACTGGACTCCTGTTCCTGCTGAACTGAGCCAGTGGTTCTGTAGGACTGTTAATCAGTTCAGGTAGGCACAGGAAGCCAAGCCCAAATCTTCTCTTTCTCACGAAGCACTGGCGAGCTACGAACACATCGTTTTTCCTTTTTTTGGTTTGAAATGAATCAAAAAGAAAAGCTAACTCAGACTGCGTTCTGCTTTGCCAAACCCACAAGAAACCGCACTACTGTAGGTTCCTTTAATCCGCTGAGATTGTTGGATTTTACCAGCTGGTGAAAGGCTTGGTTGATACATTTGAAACCTCAGCAAGACCACACTGCCACACTTAAAATTGAAAAAGTTGCCAACCATAATCTAATACAAACAACTCTTTCAAATATACCTGAAATGAAAGAAACAATCAGTTAAGTGAAGATGCATGAAAAAAAGAAGACGTGGCCGAATACATTTATATTCAGTGTCTTTACACTATGTTGCTTTGTCCTTTGATGTGCCGAGCACCATTTCCCTCCCAATTAGAGAGTAATAAATCACCTTTTAGATATGGGCTCTGATGGCAATTCCTCTCTTTTACAGGTCTTTGATGGTCATTACTCTTTTAACAGGCCATAAATATAGGGTCTAAAAATAGGAAGGCTCCCACATGGCCCTCATTTCTAATTCACACATCTGTCCTCGCTTAGTCACCATTTTGGTCGTTGTGAATATAGAGTGCTATAATACCTCCTCACGCCTCATATACTGATCGCCCAAAAAAGACTTAACAGTCCTAATATACACTTCTATCTGCCACTGTTTTGATTAGGGAGCAATTGGTCCAGAACTGTATAGCTTTGCATCGGAATTAGCTGTAATAACAGTGGGCTGCACCCACGGCAGTGAGTTACAAAGGGTCAGTCATTTTAACCTGAAGGTCTCATCCATACATGATTGTATTCTTTGCATGTAATGCAGTTGGAGTTATTGACAGCTTGGATGAATAATGCACTAAAGCAGAATATGTTTTTCAGAGAAACCTTTTGTTTGTTAGGAGGATGTAAATTGAGGTTGTTCTATAACAGCTCCGCAAAAAATCTATTTCTAAGAAAAAGACTGAGATGTATTGATCATTGTTTTGGCAGCCTGTGCTATGTTAAATAGAGACTTGCATGATAAACCTACTCATGTTGCTGAGAAAGTCTGTCTTTATTTTGTTAAACTGTTTTTTTTTCATGTTAAAAAACGTATCTTGAATAATTTGAGAACCCTCCTTTTAGAACACTATTATTTTTAAACTACTGTAAGAGTGTGGTGTGAACCAAGTGACGATTTCGGCTTCCTTCTTATCAGTGTGTGCCTTACAGGATCACAGCCTTTTGTTTCTCTGAGACCAATCAATATAGCTTATATCGCACCGTAACTCCACTGTAGAAACCATAGAGGTAGAAACACATAATTGTCCAAATAAAGTGAAAACTGTCATCCCTAAATGAAGGAAAGCTCTGAAGCTGCTGCAAGATTTTCCTCCTTTGATGCATCAGTCTGGTCTCCCTCTACACTTTGTGAAAAAGTGTTCAGTGGGAATCCGTCTGCTTTATGGATCTCTGTATCTTCGCTTCCTCATGCCGAGATTAGAATCAAATCAATACATATCAGCTAGAGAGGCACGGAGGGCACTTTCACTGCCAGAGTGATGTGAAGTTTAAAACCTAAGGCACTTTGAGTACTTAGAGGATGATATCGAGCACTGATGTGCTGCAAAGCCATGTCAAGCTTTTAGTTACCATGCTTTATCTACATTAAACTGTCAACTTAAAGAAATACTTTAACATTTTGGAATTGCGTAACATCTGAAGATTTATAGCAGAAAGTCACTGCACTCAGCCAGTAAAGTTCAGCACATTACTCACTGTAAAACTTGTTATTTGTCACACTTTGGTCAACAAACATGATATGACATGTGATTAAAAAGGCTTTAGAGGTGCTGGTAGGCAGAATTTCTTACTATATGTTTTCCAAATCTTTAGGCCAACTCTTTATGCCGGCAGTAGGTAGATCAAGCATGTGGAATAACTTTAGTTCACACAGAGTGGTCTGCTGTTAAAAACACTGAATTGTGGAGATAGAAGGTGAGTGACAATGATGAGGTGGTGATGATGCTCCATCATTGATGAAATATCTGTCAGCAGCGTTGGGGTCTCCCCAGGCCTCATTAGCACTGGAAGTAGAGTCTCTCTGCTGAGGTACTTGGCTCTCACCTTCACTAGAACTACAGAGCGTGCAACTGGCATCATCTACAGGATTATCTATTATGCTACGTAACTGAGAGGAGACAGAGGCAGGGGTGGGAGTAGAAAGGAAGATGAAAGAGTCAGAAAGAACAACAGGCAAAGGCAGGAGATCTTA